TAGCAGAGGGTGATGGGCCACCCTCATGGGCCGAGCAGCCTCCCTAGTGGGCCGGCCGGCCCACTATGGTGCCAGGTGGGCTCCTCCTTCTGGTGGCAAGGTTTGGGCCCCGTCTTGAGTCGACTTTCGTAGGTGTCGTGGGTAGAATCACTTGTTGTCGTCGGTTTACTTGTTTGGAGTGTATGACAGTAGTCCCGGGAGCTGCTTTCTAGATAAATCCTCCTGCAGTCATCAAATCACCAAAGCTCATGGAATTCATTAGTTTAAACCCCTAAACCTTCATTGGTGATTACATTTATACCCTTATACATGTTTAATTGATGGTTTATAATGGTCGTTAACTACGGTGAACAACACCCTTCTTCATGGTCTACGGTTCTGAGGCTATCCTCTCGACTGACCTCAACTATGGAGCACCGAGGGTTAGGGCATACAACGAGCAGGGAGACGAGGTGTCCCTCGAGGACGCCATGGATCAGCTCAATGAAGCGCACGACATTGCCCTCCTCTACTCGGCCAAGCACCACAGCCGTCGGGTGTGGGGTCGAGCCTTTAACGTCGAGGACCTAGTGCTCTACCTCATCCAGAGCAACAAGAACCGCCACAAGCTCTCTCTGCCGTGGGAAGGACCGTACGTTGTCGCGGAGGTGCTCTGACCGGACACCTACAAGCTCAAGACCATCGACGGAAAGGTCTTCGTCAATGCCTGGAACATCGAGAAGCTACATCGCTTTTACCCTTAATCTATAAGTGCACTTATGAGAAATAAGAATGAAGTTTCTGAAATGAAAACACTCTCTCTTATCGATTTCGTTATCGTCTCCTTGATCTTTAGTGACACCTGAACCCAGCAATGGCAAGGGGTCGAGCCTCACTCGGGGGTTTATAAGAGTATATCTACCCAAAAACATTCTCTGTGCCTGACCCTCTCTTGTGTTAAGATCCAGAAGCAAGAGTTGTGGAAACAAACGCAGAGTAAAACTGGTCAGACTGCAAAAAAACCTACGCCCCAGCGGCTACGGCATTTTTGCTCACCAGCGTGATCAGAGTTTTTTCGCCCGCACCTCAAGCTTTACAGTCTTAACAACAGAAAGGGTCAGAACGTATTAACCTTTTTATACAAAAAAGGGGGAGAAGTGCCAAAAGTCTGTTCGGCCATAACAAAAGATAAGAACTTGTCCACTTATTACAAGTTCACCGCCCGGCCTATCTAACTAACTAATTTTTTGGGAGGATGATCTCATCCTCTATCTTGGTAGATAAGTCATGTGCCAAAGGGGCCACCTCCTTCTTGATGTCCTCCATCTCAGCGTCAGAGTAGCCGGGCATGAAACCTTGGCTCAGCGTCGCTAGATCGATGTTCTCATAATGAGAGCAAGCGATCGCGAACGATCAGTGAATGTCGAAGCGAAGCATGTCCCTCGCAATCTCACGTGACCAATCCATAATCTAGATGGCGCGAACCACCAATAGGCTCGTCTCCTTCTCCAGGGACAGTTCGAGGTCATCGAAGACCAGCTAGACTACAACGCGCAGGGTATCATGCTCATCGCTCTCCTTCAGGAGGGAGTCCTTCATCTCGTCAAGCTCCTTCTCTAGGCCGTGGCTCTACATCACCTCCGCCCTAAGCTTGTCGTCCAGACCTGTCCAAGTCACATACCAACCACGTCAAAAGGCCTACCACAAATTCTAGGGAGAACGACAACAAGGGAAACCGGAGGCTTACCGTCCACGTCCGCCCAAAGCCTACGCACCTCATCGCGTTGTCGGGTCACCTTGGCCTCCAGGCGCCAGACCTCTTCCTGGCACTGACCGACCTCCGTGGTGAGCCTAGCGGACATGCCCTTGACCATAACCTTTAGGTCCCTCTTGATGAGGACATCGCCATGCTGGACACACCGACGCCATGGTCTTCCCCAAGTTGCAATTCGTTCCCAACTCAGCTGCCACGTCGCCCTCGGATTCAGCAAACACGTCGTCACTGTTTCGGTCATAACTTTCTCATACGACATCGAAACGGGCCGTTCTTGGATGCGTTGGAAAGGGGACGACGACGCCGTCGTTTTGGATCTGGTCCTAGCTCCAGAAGGTCCTTGGATCATTCTATGTGACCACGGCAAGGTGCTGCGTCACCTATTTGGGCCAACTTGGCCATGTATCGTGTCGGGCCTTAAGCCCAAGTTGTGGGCGCCCAACCCCTCGCCGTCCCCAACCCTAGGTCGAGTCTTAGACTATAAAAACAGCCGTCGCCGCTGCTACACAATTGGGTTTTGTTTAGAGTTTAGTTTTCCATCGAGAAACCTAATCGTTCATTGTAACTCGTGGTGACAAATCATTTTACTGATGATCCGTGGCCCCTGCTCTTGATCTCCTCCATCGTGTCGATTAGTCCTTTGGAACCGAGTTCTTGAATCCTCTATTGATATTCACGTCATTCATATTTGCAATTTTAGATTGCGTGTTTTACCTTCTTGCTTGTGCTCTTCGATTCGCTTGTAGGAAAAGCCTTCTTGGCGAGGTCAATCAAGTTGTGCTTGGTTGATAACCAACAGAGCAGTGGTGTAACGGTTCTGCGGGGTTCAATCGCGTCGATTTGAAGCCGGATCGCCAACGCCGAGATCTCCACAAAATCGAACTTATCGGCTACCTCTCGGAAGATCGGGCCTGTACTCATCAATTGGTATCGATATTTCGTGTTTACCACGAGGTATAATCTCGCTTTGCCTTAGATTCGTATTTATTCATTACCTAGAGTCTACAAAAAGCCCAAAATATTTCAATTTCCGCTGTCCTATCGCCTTTGTGCCTTTGCAATTTCCTTTCAGATTCGTGTTGTTGAGTTTGTGTCCGTGGTCGAGTCTTGTTGCCGGTTTAGGATTGTGTTTGTGGTCGTAGTTCAATCGCCTGCTTGCTTGTGATTTTTGTTTTCCACCGCTATCCCATCCACTGCTCCCAAACAACAAGTCGGCCACCACATTACTCGACTTGCCCCGCTAGCAGCCTTTGTGTCACTTCTCGCCGCCGCTGACAAACCCTAGACATGTTGCCACCGCTCTTATTTTGCTCAATCGCATCCCTCCTTACATCATCAAAGTAATACCTATCGCTTTGTTAGTCACAAAGTGATGATCCCGTGATCGGTGTTAGAGTTTCGGGACGCTTTGCCCTAATCGCCGCCGCCGTGTTGTGCCTCCCGGAAAACATACTTTGAGATAACTTCGGTAAAACAGGCATAACTTTTCGCTCGTTTATCCGAAAAATCTGAATTTTTTTTTCAGCAGCTTCTTGACACCATTTGGAGCCGACCCAAACTCGGCTTTGCCCTGTTTGGTTTCATCAGAATTGCCAAAAAAATTCGAGAAAATATAGAAAAAAAATTGTCAAAGTTTTTGCACGCTTTTTAGAGAACGTGCTGAATTTCTGTAGACCACATCCCACCTCAGTTGTAGGTGCCAATTTTTGTGGTTGCATCTTTTGTGATCCTTGTTCAGAGAAAAGTATATTAAAAATACTGAAAAAAGTAAAAAAGTTTGTTTCCTATTAGTGCCTTTTGAAAAAAAGGAGAAATCCGGGCTGTTTGTTCCGTGAGTTCTTTCGATCGTCCTTTGTTTTCACCTTGTTGCGCTACGTCTCGTCACGTCTTAGCCAGCACCTGTGATTTGTACTTTGGATCCAGATTGAACAATCATTAATCTGCATTCGTTAATTGCTAATCCTTGCTGTCATATTGTGTGCCTACCCATAGCTCCACATATTCTTCTGTCAGCACAGGTTCATCTTGCAACTGTTACCCACGCTCCACAACAGATTGCTTCGCCACTTTGGTTTTGCTCCTGTTTGGCGTTGGTAAGAATACAGGCAAGACGGTGGTAAGCCGCTTGTGATTTTGCATTCCACTTTCACCACCATCACCACCACCACCACTTGTTTCCTTTTAGTTGATAGAGATAATACTTTGGTGTTGTCTTTTTCTATCTTCTAACCATGGCAGGAACTCCGACGGACTTCAATGAGTGCGTGTCCAAGGGCGAGCTTACAACGTTCATGACTGAACAACACAATCTTATGACCGAGCTGACGCGCAACGTGAACAATCTGGTCACCCACATTGAACAGCTTGAGCAACGCCCTCCACCTTATCGTGCTGATGATGAAGATGCGGATGCTTTTGGTGATGAAGATGCGTATGCTGACGGTGGTGCCCGTCGCCGCCTCAACTTCAATCATCGCGGTATGGAAGGTAATAATCATGGTAATAATGATCCTTTTGCTAAAATTAAATTTAGTCTACCTCCTTTTGCTGGTAATGTTGATCCAGAGGCATATTTAGATTGAGAGCTTGCTGTTCAACAAAAATTTGATTCTCATAATGTTCCCGCTGAGCATAGAGTTAGACTTGCTACTAGTGAGTTTACTAATTTTGCTTTGTTCTGGTGGAGTGATCTTTGCAATGCCAATAATGCTGCTGCTGTGCCTCAAACTTGGAATGTTTTAAAGCAACGTATGAAATCTTGTTTTGTTCCTCCTTATTACCAACGTGATTTACGTTTGAAACTACAAACTTTAAAACAAGGTGATAAAGGAGTAGAAGCATATTATCAAGAATTGCTTATTGGTTTAGCACGTTGTGGTATAAACGAAGATGATAATGATGCTAGTGCTAGATTTTTTGGTGGTTTAAACCATGATATACAGAACATACTTGATTACAAAGAATGGCGCAATTTTTCCCAATTGTATCATCTTGCTATTAAGGCGAACGAGAAGCACAGGACGCAAACAACACCAGCCTTTCAGGTCTAACAATGGGAGGAATTTTCAGCAGCGTTTTGAGTCAAGACGCCTAAGCTTCCTCAAGGCACCACAGCCCATCTACACCTCCATTTTCTTCCGGGTAAGTAAATTGTCTAATGTGCGCTTTCCACAAATGAAGAAAGGTGGCACTCTCAAGGTGCTTCTACTAGCTCCTCCTCGTCCAAATCTAAAATCATTTGCCACCGATGCAAAGGCATGGGACATGTCATGAAGGATTGCCCCACCGTCGCGCTTTCATTGCTACCGAGGATGGATATGTAAGTGCTAGTGATGTTGAAGATGATTTAGACCTTGTCGCTAACATTGATGCAGATCCCACCGAGGGCGATCAAGACAAGGAGGCCATCACCATTGACTCCGTGAGCTCTGCCGCCATGACTACCCTAGCCTTCTTGTGCAAATGTGTTGAGTACACATGTGGGACATGAAGAAGAGATGAAGATCCAATGCCATAATTTGTTCCACACGTATCTCATTGTGCGGGGGTTGTCGTGTTCTCACTATCATTGATAGCGGAGTTGCAACAACTTGGTGAGTTCAGATTTGGTTGACAAGCTTGGCTTGACCACACGACAACATTCGTATCCATATAAACTTCAATGGTTCAATAATAGTGGTAAGACTAAGGTAACTAAATCAGCACGCATTAGCTTTTTCACGAGCTCTTATCATGATATCGCTTGATTTTGATGTTGTCCCTATGCAAGCTTGTTCCATTTTGTTAGGTCGACCATGGGAATTTGATAATGATGCTTTACACCATGGTAGAACTAATACATACACTATCATACATAAGGACAAGAAAATTACATTGCTGCCTTTGTCTCCTACGGATATTATTAAACATGCTAATGAGATTAAAAATAAACCTCCAATGACATTGCTAAAAATAATGGGATTAAGTTAAAAGGAGGTGCTTTTCTTGCTACAACTTCGCTCATCACTGAGTTATGTGATAATCCTGATGCACCATGTTATACTATGTTTTGTCAACCTTTTATGTCTGGTGCATTGCCTGCTGTCACTAACCTTTTGCAGGAGTTCGCTAATGATGGGATGGAGTCGAGGACGACTCCAATTCTAGAAGGAGGGGATGACGAGGACATCGCCAAGATGGAGTCGAGGATGACTCCAATTCGAGAAGGGGAGGATGATGAGGACATCACCATGCTAGACACACCGACGCCATGGTCTTCCCCAAGTTGCAATTCGTTCCCAACTCAGCTGCCACGTCGCCCTCGGATTCAGCAAACACGTCGTCACTGTTTTGGTCATAACTTTCTCATACGACATCGAAACAGGCCGTTCTTGGATGCGTTGGAAAGGGAACGACGACGCCGTCGTTTTGGATCTGGTCCCAGCTCCAGAAGGTCCTTGGATCATTCTGTGTGACCACGGCAAGGTGCTACGTCACCTATTTGGGCCAACTTGGCCATGTATCGTGTCGGGCCTTAAGCCCAAGTTGTGGGCGCCCAACCCCTGGCCGTCCCCAACCCTAGGTCGAGTCTTAGACTATAAACACAGCCGTCGCCGCTGCTACACAATTGGGTTTTGTTTAGAGTTTAGTTTTCCATCGAGAAACTGAATCATTTATTGTAACTGTGGTGAGAAATCCTTTTACAGTGATCCAGGGCCCCCGTTCTTGATCTTCTCCACTATGTCGATTAGTCCTTTGGAACCGAGTTCTTGAATCCTCTATTGATATTCACGTCATTCATATTTGTAATTTTAGATTGTGTGTTTTACCTTCTTGCTTGTGCTCTTCGATTCGCTTGCAGGAAAAGCCTTCTTGGCGAGGTCAATCAAGTTGTGCTTGGTTGATAACCAACAGAGCAGTGGTGTAACGGTTGTAGGGTTCGAATCGCGTCTGATTTGAAGCCGGATCGCCAACGTCGAGATCTCCACAAAATCAAACTTATCGGCTACCTCTCGGAAGATCGGGCCTGTACTCATCACCTCTCCCCCTCAAGCTCACCCTTGAGGAGGTCGATCTGCTGCTAGGAGTTAGCGCACTCCTGGTGAGCCAAGTCACACTCCCTGCAAAGCCCCTCTATGGCCCAGAGCAAGTTGTCCTGCTCCTTTCGTAGCTGCTCAGCCTCCACGACGTCCGTGCGTGCCCTCTTGATGAGGTCCATGAGCTTCTCCCTGGCCTCACGGGCATCATCGCGAGCGTCCTTCTCCTGGACTCTGAGGATGGCTAGCTCCTGAGCGGCAGGGGAAACCTCAGCCACCTCCTAACAGGTGGCAGTGAGCTATGCGGCCGGCCCCTCACTCCATTGTGTCTCTTCATTGAGGCGGTCCCAAACGTCCTTCTCGCGATGAAGGAATTGGGACTTCTCCCAGCTGTGGACCATAAGGGACTGCGGAGAGGACATGACTTAGAGGCGCGAAAAGAGAAAATGAGGGTTAGAAACACAGTCATATCATACCTAGCCAACCGGGGCAATGACGTCGCGCAACGAGCTTAGCACGGTGGTCAGGGCATGAATCACGGTCCCAACCTCCGTATGGACGCTCCCCCATTCCCTTTCCTCCACAGCATCGTCGAGGGCAAAAAGCGTCACCCCTAGGTCCCACCGGTCTCCCCACCGGATCTGAGATCCTCCCCACTCGTGCGGGTCACCGCCCACTCAGACGAGAAATCAGGATGGCTCCACGCCGATCCCAAGCAGTGCCAACCCCTCTTGTGGTAGCAACCCCTCCGGAGCAGACCATCTAGTGGTAGAGGGGGCAAGTGACGTGGATGCGGAGGCTTGCCCCATTGCCACATCCACTAAGGATGCTTCAGGTGTGCTCTCTTCCGTCTGCCCCGCTAGAGAGGTAGCCACCCACACAAATGACGCCTCCAGCTATGACGTTTCCACCTACGATGTCGTGGCCACACCTAGCTGCGCCACACCCACCATGGGTGCCCCAGATGTGCCCTCCTTCATCTGCCCTCCCATGGACGCAGCCATCGGCTGTGCCTCCCCAGTCGATGTCGTGGCTGCCCCAGCGCCACTCTCGCTCACCTACAACACGGCGCCAGCTGGCTCCTAGCGCGTCTGCCGACAGGCGAGGCTCTTCTTTGACGCAAGCCTTAGGAGAGTCCCGCGGCCTCCGACGCTACAAAGGACATGACGGTCACTTTACGACAAAATTTTATTAGAGCAAAAGGACTAAAAAACTTTTAACTCACCTCGACGCCATCGGGCGATGACATTTTGGGGCTGGCCCGCCCGACCCCGGCTGCTCCTCGTCAGCACTTTGGCGCTTCGAGCCCTCCCTCTGCTCGGAGGGCCCGGACGAAGTGGGGTGGCCGATTCCCGCCAACTCCGGGGGTGCCACGAAAGGCCCAGACGGAGCGGGGTGGCTTGATTCCGCTGGCTCTAGAGGCGCGTCCTCCCCCTCCTACCCCGGGGCATGCCATTGGATAGGCAACCAGGAACCATCGCCTTCTGCTTCTTCTTCTTCTTCTTCTTCTTCCTCCTCCTCCTCTGAACCCTGCCGCTGATTTCCTCGGTTCAGCCTCGCCCGCTACCTCCCCTATCGCCTCACCTCCTTGTTGTATTTATCCTTCTTCCTTCGCTCATCTGCGGCATGGTTCACCGCCCTCAATGCCGTATGCTCCGGTAGCGGCACGACGGAGGCCCAAAAGCCCAAATCCGTTGGTAGCTCAATAAAGCCTAGCTCTGGCCACATCACGGGATGTCCTAGGATTGGTAGCACAGCGTCGGACTCATCCCTCGCCTCCTTGATGTGCTGCATAATCTCATTATTGCGAAGCGGCCCCTGGGCGAGCACCGTCCCGCCGAGTTCCATAACTGGCATCATCCCGAACAATGGGAGGGCGCCACCATCAGCGGTGCCACCCTCTTGCATGGTATGCTCCAATGACACTGGCCCCGCGAAGGCCATGGCTCCTCAGGGATGCGACGGCCTCAAGGATGTCGTGCATCCTCTTCTTTTCCTTGATGGGTGGCCCCCCCCCGACCACGTTGGTGGTGCCTCTTCAATCAGGCGTCTGGTGAAGAATGACAAGGGGCGGTGGGGTCATTCTTCAAGTAGAAACACTACACGTGCCTCCCCTTGTTAGATCTAGATAGCTGGCAGGGCATGTACTCGGCTGCCCGCTGTCCTCGGAGGTGGATGCCCACGTATCCCATTGGCATCGGGATCTCCCTACCTCTATCCTTTTTCCTGTGCAGGGAGATGGTGAAGAAGTACTCCCATAACTCGAAGTGTGGCTCGATCCCCAGGTACCCCTCGCACATCGCAATGAAGGCCGCAACATGCTGGATCCCATTGGGGTTGAGGTGCTGCAGCTCGATCTGGTAGTGGTGCAGCAGCCCCCAGAAGAACGGATGAGGGGGGATTGTGAACCCGTGCTCATGGAAGGGCGCGAAGGAGACGTGTAACCATCGGGCGACATCGGTACATCCTCATGGCCGAGAACCAGCCACTCCATCGTGTCGGTCCTCCCACGAAGAAGACTGTGCTTGACGAGGCCCTCCATGCGTGCATGGGTGACGTCGTAGTGGTACCACGTCTCCATGGAAAGCAAAGACGGAGGAGCAAGGACTTTTTGGCGGTGGCAGAGAAGCGAAGGCTACAGATCTAGGGCGCTGGTGGTGGAAAGGCGGACAAGGCAAGGTTATAGTTTAGTGTGCCAAAACATAAAGGGGGAGGCCGTTATTTATAAGGCAAGGTGAGGCGAGAGGCAAACCATCTACCTAGATTTACGCGCTCGCTGCATCGTGTCACATCGCCCCCCGAAGATCGTGCGCACGCCACCTTTGGACGCTCCCTTGAAGGACGCGCCGGATGATGGTTCGCCCCATTCGATGTGCCGAGAACCACCATAGGTAAGGAGGAATACAGAGCTAAAAACACTCCCATGGCCCATTTAGGCCCAGGAGTTCAAAGGTTGGCCCACCGACGGGTTCACAATCGCTCCAGGGCGCCTTTAGAGTGAGGGGTGGAAAGGGATGGGCCTGCTAGTGGCCAGTACCCAGGCACACGAGCGCTGCAGGCATCCTGGCCTATGTTCGAGTCTTGGTCGGTTCACAGTCCATGGATTTTCCTCGAAGAAAGGCAACGAGCCCTTGGGATCGATCGAACGGACCCAATAACTATATGGATTGGCCGCCAAGAATCTGGAGTCAGTCACCAGCTGACCCATGCCGGACCCCCATGAATAGGAAGCCGAGGCCCCACACGGACTAGTCCATTAACAGCTCACCGGGCACCATGATTCGTCCATCGTGGAAAACAAGGCACAGGTCAGGCCCTCCGTTTTATCGAAAAAACGCTTGAGGGAGGATGATCACAAGATGAGCTGACCCCTCGACCGGACCCCTGCTACGCGTGGGGGCTCGAGGGAAGTTGGACTCATAAGGAGACCGAATACATGGTTGCCTAACGATGGTAGATCGATCAGATCCTAAGGAGGGATCGGAATCAAGAGAAATTTGTTCGGCCCCCCGAATCCCACAGCTACATGTTCCTAAGGAGTCCAATCACGACAGAAAGGAATCACAACCCACCAAGGCATCCTACGGGCAGCAGAAGATTGAAGCCCTTGAAGTCCCTCCATCCGAAAAAGCCTACGAAGGAGTATCCTACTCCTCCGTAGGCTCGAGGGCTACTATCGGGTATCAGTATTAGGGATACCCGAAGAAGGGATCTGAGGACCGTGGACGACAAACTCGCCTAGATAATCAAGGACATATTTAAGTCTCGACCGACCCCGAGGGTACGGGAGCCGTGTCGCCTGACCCTGAGGGCACGGGCCCCATGTCGCCCAACCCTCGAGGGTACGGGAGCCATCTCGATCGACCGTGAGGGCGCGGGCTCCGTCCCGCCCGACCCTGAGGGCGTGGGCTCCGTCTCGCTCGATGAGGACCCATACCGCCTCCAACCACTATAGGTCTAAGGGTACGACCCTAGGGTCAAACTTCTGACACCAGGAGGGAAGCAGGCACATCTCGACATGACTTGTGGCCATGTCAGGCCACGCTCGGGGGTTCGCATCGCCAACAGTGACGGGTGCGTGGTCGCTGTGCTGCCTAATCCCTGTACGGCCGCTGACGGGCACGTCGGTTCACCACGCCGTCCGCCGGGACGGGATGGGACGCCATGACCAATTGATGACGTCGAGGCATGGCACCAGGGGTGAACAGGTGCCCGACGTGGAGCCGTCCCCGTCACCATCTACAGCGTCAGCGGGACCCGCATGAAGGAGAAGAAGAACGCGGTGGCCCTGGAGGCCTTCTTCTCCCTCGTTTTTCTCCTTTTCTCTCTCTGTAACCTACGCCTTCCCCTTCACCTATAAAAGGGGAAGTAGGACGCCCCATGAGAGGGAGGAGGGGCACATAGCTGAACGAGCTCAGCAAGACTCAACTCTGTTCGAT